ATGGACTATCCTTGATGAAAGAAGTTGATAGATTTAACGATTGGAAATCAATGTAAAAATTCGCGAAATCAAAATGAAAAAAAATATGAAAAGAACAGAAATTTTTCGGATTCCTTCATGTTATGTTTTCACATTAATTTTCATCAAGGTGGCCAAACATGCCGCCTTAATAACATTTTCTTGATTAATTGCAGATAATTGTATTGTATTATTTGAAATTGGTCATTATAAGTTACGATAACAAAATAAAATCCTGCTTTCCTTTTCTAACTTCTTTTATTAATCATTAATCTCATTCTATTTTGCATGAATGAATTTCGCTGACTTTTTTCCCATTTCTTCATGTAATTACCATTTGCTTCCTCCACTTGTGTATGCAATTTTTAGACTGAGGCAATTGTTTTAATGATCGTAGTTTTCATCTGCTTTCTTTTGAGGCTCCCCCACCCGACATTCTTCTTTTAGAGGAATAAAAAGTTTTCATCATGCCTATATCTTTTCTTCGTCGATATCAATTCCTCTATGATATATTTTCATATTTTTTACCTTTCTCTTTTGTCATATTTTATTTTCTCTTATTTATATTTAAACATTTTTTTCTTATTTTCAAACTCCCACTATTATTCTGTATGGTACTATAAAGGACAAATCGGAAAAGTTTATCAATATAACAAGTTTCAATTTTAGTAACGCCTCGTCAGAGTATGAGATATGGAAAAAAATAAATTCTGTTATTTTTGTTTTTGTGTTAGAGTTTCTTTTGTTCATCAATCTTCGGGTGCATTTGACTTGTTAAAAAGCATTACCATAAATTATGGCGTTCCGATCTCAAGGTGAAGACGACACGGCCTTTCGAAGCTTCAAAACTGTAACGGATTCCACGCCTATCTGACAAAATTGCTTTATGTATGTAAGTTTGTCATAATTCTAATATGTCTATGTGGTATTCTGATGATAATGAATATACATAAGTGTGTGTGTATGTCTTGTACCTATTATTTAAGTTTGGTAGTTGTTCGCATGTTTTTAGTGGACGTTTTTATGTAAACACCAGTTGTAATAGATAAACATATGTTAGATTCTTTAAGAATGGATTTAATAAAGGTTTGTGACGTAATATTGTGTTTTTGGCGTGTTTATAGTTGGTAAATTATTTATCAGGATTCCCTCGAAGTATTTTCGATGTGAAGAATTATATCCTGTTTTTTTTTTGTTTTTTTTTTCAATTAGGGTGGCGTTTGTAAAATTATTCTGTATGTATTTTATTACTTTCAGTTTAAGCATCACGTTTAACCGCTAATTTTTGGCCTCATCTGACTGTTTCTTCAAGTCAAATTGACGTTTATTCTTGCATCCGTTATATTTCTTTTTTCATTAATGTTTTACAAGTGTTCACTACAATATGTCATCTTTTTTCCTCATTTTCTACCTGACCTCTCTATTCCCTCGTTTTTACTTTCTGCGATCACTAAGTTAATCAAATTAGAGCTTGGTCATTAACCTAGACGGTTCGCCGTTTGGAAATACCAGGCAGTGTAGGCTTGGCTGTACGGGAGTGTGCAATAGATAATGCCTCAAGATAAGAAATCGTAGAACCGTGTTCGAATTTTGGTCGGGTTTGTTACATCTGCTTAAACTCTAAGAAATGTTTGAATACATCACCCCTTTCTCCGATATAGACTGAACAGCAAGACAGAATGGTTCCTGCCGTCTTGACAGACAACCAGTCTAACGCGGAATGTAACGGCAGCCTACATAAGGAAATCTGCTACCATGTCTAGCATGATAGAAAAAGATTTTATTACTCATGAGGCCTAAGCATGGAATACTGGGTTAATTTTATTTGGTATATCTTACATTTAGCTTTATGTCTTTTTTTATATATATTTTATTTCGACTAACCTATATTTTAATCATTTATACTAAGCAAGGATATGAAGGCACTAATAGTGCCAGTGTTACAGAAAGAAAAAAGTAACTGAGAAAGTGGGTATCGAGGAGAAAGAAGCAAAGAGCAGGATTCAAGAAGACAGAAGATAACGATTAACGTTGACTTGAAATGTTTGAAGATCGTAGTTCACAGGAAATCAAGAAGCCGAAAAAGACTTCCACGGGCGAAAAATATGTGAGAAGAAACCATTAGCAATTTCAACAATAAAATGATGATCGAGATGCCAATTTAGCACAGCGCTTAAAGTCGTGGATTTGTGGTACTAAAGAGGAAAGTTCATCAGAACAATTGTCAGGAAATTATTTATTGAAAAGGCCCTAGGAAACTATTATATTTCTTTCTGTTTTTCATTCTTTTATTTTTCATTATATTGTCATTACACTTTCATCAGACTAATATTTTTGCATAAAATGTCTTCTCTTTCTTTTTTTTGTTTTTTCGTTCCTTCTTTCTTTCGTTATTTATTTTATAACTTCTTTCTTTCATTCTCTCTTTTCTTTTTTTTATTTGTTCGTAAGAATATTTTCATTACACATTCACCAGATAAACATTCCTTGCATAATATGTTTTCCATTTCTTTTTATCTTTCTTTCTTTCTTTCATTTTTTCGAAAGATTATTTTCATTACTCTTTCATGAAATAAATACTTCTTTGATAATGTTATATGTTTCTTTCTTTTTCTTCCTTTTTATTGATTTCATACTTCCTTTCTTTCTTGATTTTTCATTTGTTCGTAAGATTAATTCAGTACTCTTTCAAGAAATAATATTTCTTGTACAATGATTTCAATTTCATTCTTTCATAATTTCCTTCTTTCTTTCTTTTATTCTTTACTTCTTTCAATCTTTCTTTCTTTCATTCATTCTTTATTTCTTTCAATTGTTTGTAAGATTATTTAAGTCACTCTTCACCAGATAAATATATATCTTGAAAAATATTTTCCTTTCTTTAGTTTTTTTTGCTTTTCCTTTCTTTCTTTCTTACTTTCATCCATTCATTCGATCTTTCTATTATTCTTTATATATTTAATTCTACATTATTTCTTTCATTCTTTTTTCTTTGTTTGTTTCTTTGTTTTTTTTCTTTGTTTGTTTCTTTCTTTCATTTTTTCTCGTTCATTTTTTTCTATTCTTTCATTCTTTATAACTCATTGTTTATTAATGCATTTGTTTTTTCTTGCTAATTTCTTTCTACATTTTTTTATTCATTTCGCAATTTTCTATTACTTTTTAAGCTTTGTCTTTAATCATTGTTTTCTTTCTTTCTTAATAACTTCGTATTTATTCAAATATATATATTCCTTTCTTTCTACGTTTATTCCAACTTTTCTTTCTTTCATTCATTTTTTCGTTCATACTTTTGGCTTCATCATTTAATGAATTCTTCATTTATTTTAAACCTTCGTCTGTAACCATTGCTTTCTTTCTTACCTTCGTTCTTTCATGATTTCTTTCTTACATTCCTCCAATCGTTCGTTCTTTCTTTCATTCTTTCTTTCTTTCCTTCTTTCTTTCTTTCCTTCTTTCTTTCTATATTTTCTTTATTCTTACAATCTTTCTTACTTTTTTTATATATTCTTTTTATTCTTTCATTTTTTCATTCACTCTTTCTGTCTGTCTGTCTTTCATTCTATATTTCTCATTATTTGTCCTGTACTTGTTATTTCTTGTTTCTTTCTTTCTTCATTTATTCATTTATATATTTCCCACTTTTCCTTATTTAGCTTTGCCTTTTAATTACTTTCTTTCTTTCAGTGTAACCCGGATATAAGAGACTCGGTTATAAGAGAAACCTGGATATAAGATAGATTTTCTCTTGTCCCAAATTAGAGCCTGTGTTAATGTATATAAAATAGACCAAACCCGGATATAAGAGAAACCCGGATATAAGAGACTTCGTTTCCGGTCCCGACAACCCTCTTATATCCGGGTTACACTGTATGTTTCTTTTGTTTTTTCTTTATATATCTTCCAATTTCTTTCTTTAATTCATGTTTCATTCTTTATTTGATTATATTAGCTTCGCGCTTAATAAATAGTTCAACTATTCCAAACTTTCTTCTTTAACCATATTTTTCTTCCTTTCTTTTATTCCTTCTTTCTTTATCTATTTCATTGTTTCTTCCATTATTTCATTCTTTCTTTGCATTACTCATTGATGCATTGTTTATTCTTTCTTCATTTATTTATTTCACAATTTTCTTTTGTTTTTTTTTAAGCTTTGACTTTTAATCATTGTTTTCTTTCTTTATATCTTCGTATTTATTCAAATATATTTTCTTTTTATTTTTTCTACATTTATTCCACATTTCTTTCTTTCATTCATTCTTTCTTTGTTTCATGCATTTCGCTTCAAATTTTAATAAATACTTCATTTGTTTATTTTAATCTTTCTTCTTTCTTTCTTTTTTCTTTCCTCAATCCTTTTTCTTTTCTTGACTTTCTTTTATATTTGTTCTAGAACATTTACTGTCTTTAATAATTATTCCACCATAGAAAAAAATCTGTTTCCTCTTTCATCATTTCTTTCAATCTGCACAAATGTAATCATTTATCTTTCTTTTCTTTCATTTTTACTTTACGAATAATTGATCATATAACTATTTCTATTTTTCTCCGTTTCAATTTTTCGTTTTTGTCTATCATTTGTTCTTTATTCTTTTTGTTCATTCTTTCATTTATGAAACCGCATGGAAATTTCCCGTGAATATTCCTTCAGAGATATCAAGTCGATTTTTAATCAGTTCTGTAGAATTTCTCCTGGGTAGCGGTACCTGAAGAACATTTCGTGACTTGATCATTAAGAAAACAGAGAACATTTTGCAATGAAAGAGCAATTATATCCTCAACGCAGTTCCAATAATTTCAAGACCAAATTATTTTATACATTATATTTTAAACTTCGAAAAAGAAACAATATAACATTTCACTCTCTGACTAATATGTCTAATCATTCGTTTATGAGGTTAATTATAATTAATTATTACAGTACATCATTAACTACGCTGATCGTGTAATAATTTATATGCAGATAAACAAATAGTAATCTGCTAAAATAGACGAAATGGGGAGATAGATAGATAGATAGATAGATAGATAGATAGATAGATAGTAAAATACTGAAATAGATGGATGGAAAATACCGCAACAGATAAATACACAGATAAAATGATGAGATAGATAGTTAAAATGTTGAAATCGTTAGATAGATGGATCGATAAAATGCTGAAAAATATATATATATATATATATATATATATATATATATATATATATATATATAGAGAGAGAGAGAGAGAGAGAGAGAGAGATAGATAGATAGATAGATAGATAGATAGATAGATAGATAAAATGAATATATTGATAGATGGAATGATGAGATAGATAGATATATAGATAAAATGATAAATGAATACACTGAGAGATGAAATGATGAGATAGATAGATAAATAGACTGACAGACAGACAGGCAGATAGGTTATATGATGATATATCTAAAAGGTTAAATACTTAGATTAAATGATGACATGCATAGACAGATTGTTAGACATATAGATTTTAGGTGTGTACAAATGCGTCCAGTAAAAAAATAAAATATATATATATTGAAACTCTTGTTTTCCAGAAACATTCTTAAATACATTTTGATGTCTAATATTTTTTATATTTCAGGATCAGGCCTTCCTTGTTTGTTTTTTTTTTAATGTAAATACCATAACGTACATCTGGTCCCTTTCTTTACTTTTCACTTTAATATTATTACTATTATTATTTTTATTTTATTTTATTTCTGGCGTTTTCACATTTCTTTCCGGGTCCCGCCTAGGGGCCTAAAGTTAGAAATAGCGTCATGACACTTTCCACTGACAAAAAAAAAAAAAAAATATTACATAGATAAAGCCCTTCGTAAAGTGTGGGCTGTACTTGTCAGAACAATTTTTTGTATCTCCTTGAGGCATGGACTTCCAGGAATCTCTTCAATTAATCTACTGCAATCTTTTCCAACCAGTCCTAGGGCTCCAACTACAACAGGGATTGTTGATGTTCCCATATGCCACATTTTCGAGATTTCTATTTCAAGGTCCTTGTATTGTGACAACTTTTTGAATATCTTCAAAGATACATTGCAGTCAGCAGGGACTGCCATATCAATAAGGAGGCACCGTTTTTGTTTGTGGTCTTTAATAACAATATCTGGGCGGTTGGTCTTGATTGTTCTGTCAGTGTGTATTATTATTATTATTATTATTATTATTATTTGTTTCCAGGGCAGTGAATACGCATGACTTAGAGCGAGTGAAACTAATCGGTCTTGGCGACAACCAAATTTCTTTGAACCTTGTGGACTGGTGCTATAGAGTCAGAAAATAGAATTGTACCAAATAACAAACCTGCCGTCCGTTTAAAACATTGAATTGTAGCAGCAGATAAAACGGATGCGGCATGTAACTCGAAGAAAATATAATGACTTTATCAAGATGTCGATATTTTACACGATGTGTTGGCTTAATTGTCACCATTTTATATTTTTAATTTCGCGCATGCGCTTTTTTCATTTGTGTATCGTCAGTTGGGCACCGTCTGTGAGAAAACGAGCATCAAGACGCAGTTCACTCCTGCAGAAATTTGGAAGCGTCATGCTGTACAGTTTGGCATTCGGGCTTGAATCTCCAATACGAACATTTCAGAGTATTTGGGTGTCAAACAGAGAACAGTTCAGAGTATTCAGAAAGAGTTGGATGAGTCTAATGGTCATGACGAAAGTGTTTGGTGTGATTACTAGTGACTGCGACGTTATGTCCCCATTCATCTTCCGACATAATATGATTTATTACATTTTGTCTCCTACATACGTTTTGACTGAGCTTTTAGCAACCTGTTGAACATTTTTCAACGTGTTCACGCGCAATAAAATAAATTCTTCATTGTCTTGATAAAGTCTCTTCGAGGACGAAACGCGTCGGCTAAGAATATTTTCCTCTCATCACTTTTATTCATTTTGTTCATTTACAGATGCAATCTATCTGAAAATAATTCACACAGACACACACACAAAAAAATATATATATATATATATATATATATATATATATATATATATATATATATATATATATATATATATTATTTTCCAAAGTACTTTCAGTCTCATCTGAGACCATCTATAGGGGCTAAAACTGTCTGTATATACGAAATGTGTAAATTTCGATGCCCTTTAACGAGATTGCATCTCTGATAAAAATGTTAATACGTATGTTGATTTTACAACGACGATACTGAACAGAAGGCTTACATTTAATTGGAAATAGCATAGTTCAAACGTACAACATTTAAAGAAACATATATATATATATATATATATATATATATATATATACCTAGTGAGCTAGACAAACCCACCTAGGTTTCACCTAAACGGATCGTCAGGGAAAGTAGATATATATATATATATATATATATATATATATAGATAGATATTCATTCATAAACTGCTGAGTAAATTGTTGGGTAATTGAATGTTGAATAATGGAATTCATAACTCTGTTATCT